CCCCATCATACCTTTTTCTCCCCTTTTTTCTTAACAAAGGGTGGCTACAACCTGACATCCATCTCGGAGTCCATGGCTGCCTGCACCCGTTCCCTCCTTGGGGACCCACCACCACTGCTAACCCTGTCACGGCCCCCGCTGTCAGGGGCCCTGGCCTCCATCACCGAGACCATCCAAGTCCATCGCAGATACTGGCGCAGCTTGCGGGCCATGAGTGAGCAGGCGTGGGGAACGGGGGGCTGTGGGGGGCTCGGGAGAGGGCAGGGATCAGATGCAGGATAGGGGATAGCACCCACGCTCAAGGATCTCCCTCCTGTGGTTCCAGAGGTCGAAGACAAGGAGGGACCCTCCAGTTCTAAGTCGATCCCCAAGAAGCTGACCCAGCCAGCCAACCGTGGGTCAGCTGTGGGGATGACCGCACCAGATGGGAACATTCTGGATGCGGACGCAGGGAAGGCTACCTCAGCATCATCCATGGAAGTGGCCACTCCAGACCAAGCTAAGTCAGAGACTGCCGTGGTGGAGCTCAGTCAGGACCAAACCTCGGAGGCTCCCCCTGGGGAAGCCACGGCGGACCAGACACCCTCAGAGGCAGCCACAGGAGGGGCCACGCTGGACCAGACCATCGTGGAGTCTGCCACAGTTGGAGCCACGCCGGGCCAGACCACCTCAGAGGAAGCCGTGGGGGGAGCTGCGGTGATCCAAACCCCTCCAGCCTTATGTACTGACAACCAGACTCCTCCAGCCTCACCTGCGCAAGGAGCCACGGCCCAGATAGCCCCCAGTAAGCTGACTGAGAATCTCAGGACCTTGGACCTAAACAGCGAGGCTCAGGTAAGCCCCACCACACCCAGGTCGGCGGGGGGAGAAGGGGCCAGAACCCGGCCTCTCAGGTGCATCTCTTACCTCTGTGCTTCCAGGAGGCACCAGAATCTCAGATGGCAGAAGAGGAGGGGCTGCTAGGAGAGGCAGCTAGAGGTCAGGACAGGGATGATTCCGTGCTGATTCAGAGCTTTGGGGACCATGCCAACGCTGACCAGGTGAGCTCGGGTCAGGGAGGAGACTGGCGTCCTTCTCTTGCCCATGTGCGCCTCCACGTAGGAGCGTGCGGTGTGAGAACATGTGACACGGACATGGAGTCCCTAGCTGACTCCGTTTCACCCACTCCAGGTCATGTTTTATGCCGTGACACCGCTGCCCTGGTGTCCCCATTTGGTGGCAGTACGTCCCATACCTGAATCGGGCCTGGACGTGACCCAACCTTGTCAGGACTGTGGAACACTCCAGGAGAACTGGGTGTGTCTATCTTGCTATCAGGTACGTGGCAGCGGAGGGGGCTGGGGGGGGTTGGGGGGGCGGAGGTCGGCCCAGGAGCCGCCTGCACGTGGCTGCTGATCCCCACCCGATGCTCCCTCCCCCAACCTCAGGTCCACTGTGGCCGTTACGTCAGTGCCCATATGCTCCAACACCACGAAGTCTCAGGACACCCGCTGGTCCTCAGCTACGTCGACCTGTCTACCTGGTGTTACAACTGTGAGGCCTATGTCCACCACCAGGTGGGTCCTGGGCAGCCCCGAGAATGCGTGCACACACATGCCTTCTGTGCTGGGATAAGGGGAGATCGGAGAGTGCAGGAGAAGGGTTGTCGAGGGCTGGGGTGGGGCAGCCCCCTGGCTGAGGTAGAGGGGTCCTCACTCTCTCTCACCTACCCTCTTGCGCCCTCAGGCTCTCCTGGATGTGAAGAACATCGCTCACCAGAACAAGTTCGGGGAAAACATGCCCCACTCACACTAAATCCCGGAACGTGCCCCTCTTCTCCACCTTCTGAGGACCTGGATGAGGGGCAGCCTCACTCCATCCCATCCTGAAGACTCTTTTCACCTCCCCAAGGGTGCCGATTTAAGCATAAATACTTGTAAGAGGACTGTGATGATCAATTGTAAATCTCCCTCTGCCCACTGTCTGTTGGAGGGACTCCATCTTCTCTGCCCTGGAAGGAAAGGGGGGTTCAGTGGTCCCAAGAGGGGGCTGATATCACGAAGAGAGGGGAATCAACTGACAATATATAGCAGAGTTCCATTTGTAATAAAGGACAGGCTGTTACAAAACCTGGAGAGAGCCTTTTAATCTTAAGTGGGTGAAGAACCTCACACCCCTGGCCAACCCCTGGTCTGCTGAGTAATGAAGCAATGAGGGCATGGGTCTCTACCAGGTCAACCCCCTGCCCATCCAGTGTCCAAAAAACGGACTGGAAATAGGGCAAGCAGCTTGACTGGCTCGACTGTAGATTAAATGGCGGAATCCCAGAGCAAATGAGTGCCTGCCTTAGAAATAGCCTCACAGGCAGTCCCAGCTACACCCCGGGCCGAGAAGGCAAGACAGCCATCAGGAAGTGTCCTCACCAGGCCTCAGTCTCCCCATCTGTCTTTTTGTCCTGATTCGGGTGTGGGTGGTCTGGGTTTCCCATACTTAGATTTGGTGGTCATGCGTAACCTCCTAGGGGAAGGAGTGCCTGTCATTGACCAGGGATGAGGAACCAGAGGATAGTTTGGGGGTTTTATTTCTCCCACATAATGAGAATTTCTTTGGCAATTGAGAACAGTTCAAGCTGAGGTTTCTTAGGCTTTTCTTCATGGCCACCTTATGAACCCAAGATACCCACTGGGTGGGCCACCAGAGCCCCACCCAGTCAAGAAGAAGGGGCAGGGGGCTGTGGCCAACTCAGTGATCCCTCCTTTAAGGAACATTCTGGATGCCCCCCTCAACAACGTGGGCTTCCATCTCATTGGTCAGACCTGTGTCACATGGCTGCCATAGCTGCAAGGGAGTCTGGGAAATGTTTGAGCTTGACACCCATCCACTTCAAATCAGGTTCCTAGGGCCCTGACACAATAACCCTCCCCTGCAACTCTTTCCCTCCAGCAACAGGCACAATCCTCTCCCCCAAGCTGCTTTCCAAAAAGCCTGCTTGAGACCGCCCAGGCTCTGCTTGAGGCCCTCATGAGACCTACGCCAAAGTCTGGCCACTCAGGTCAAAAATGTGACACCCTCCGTAAGCCAAAAACATGAAATCACCTCCCAGAGGGAGGCAAGGTAAGGAAGAGGTGCAGCCGGGGGGACACAGGGAGGTCCCGCCGCTGGCTCGGTGCACCCCCAAGACCACCTCCTTTGCGGCCGGTTGGTTACTGGCGGGGGCGCCACCCCACACCCACCCCTCGGGAGGGGAGGGGGGCGTGCCGGCAGAGGGGCCTGGGAGCGCCGTTGCGCATGCGTTCTCCCTCTGCCCCTCCCGCCCCCCGCCTCCCCACCCCCCTACCCGTTGGGGCGGGGTGGGAACGTCTCCTCCTCTGTCAGTCCTGTCAGAGCCGCGGTGGGTTCGGGTCCGAGCACTCCCGCCTTGCCCAGGACCGAGGTGAGCCGGGCCGCCGGGCCTCCAGCCCCCGGCCCCGAGCGGGGAGGCCTTTCCGCGGTGGGCTGTGGGGGCGCGACGGAGGTGGGCTTGGAGGGGGACCCTTCCCCTACCTCCTCCCGTTCTCGCTCAGCCGCCTTAGCGGAGACAGACCTGGGCGCGGGTGTCCGCGCGCGCGGGAAGCGGGGGCTATGGGCTCGAGCCTCGGGATTGGGGCGTCCCGGCCCCCAAGAAAACCGGACGAGCTGGGCCGGCCGGGGAACGGGGGACAGCTTTAGGGGAGAACCTGTGGGTCCCCCAGCCGCACCTCCCCGGGCTGAGTCAAGGGAAGCGTGGCCCGGCGCGGGTGTCCGTTTGTAGACGCCCAGGTTCCGGTGCCTCCCTCCCCTCGACGCTCACCCCTGGATCCTGGGCGAATCCACACGCCGTGGGCCAGGTGGCTCCAGGCGGGGGTGACAGGGTCTCAGGGGCCCTTTGGGGACGCTCGTAGCTCTCGGCCCACAGCAAGTGGCTCAGTGTCCCTCGCGGAGGGGGAGACCCCCACTGCCGTCGGTCCGGTCCCCCGCGGGGCCGTTTGGCTTCCGGCGGGTAAACCGCCACGGCCACCACGCTTGCGGCGGCGGCGCTGTTCCGCGCCGACCCAGCGGCCTGGCTGCGGATGGCCCAGGCTCTCGGGGGCGCTGGGAAGAGTCGCGGGGCCGTCAGGCGGCTCCCCTGCCGCAGGCCCACGTCCCGGGAAATCATTCCTGCCGCTCTTTACCGCTCCCGGAGCCCTTTGCCAACGGGGGAGAGCCCGTCTCGCGTGGCCCCGGCCTCGGGCGCGGGCACCCTCAGATTCCCAGCTGCCCGGACCCCACACTCGAGAGTTAGCCTTCACCCCTCCCCACGCCCCACGCACCGCCTTTGGCTCTGAGAGCAAATCCTGTCAGTTCGTTCCACCTTAGAATCTGACGTCTCCATCGAAGATGGCTTTGGACCCCTGCAGCGGCCTCCTCGCTGCTTCCGCCCTCGCCCTTGCCTCTCGGTCTGTCCTCGCTGCTACATCATCTCCCTCTTTCTGTCCCCAAGGGTTCGGGGGACCCCCCCCCAGAGATCGGTCCTCAGTTTACCTCTCTTCACTGTGGCCCCCCTTCTTTCTGGGCCAGAGCATCTAATAATTATTGCCAGGAGTCTCTTTGGGCCGAGGACCTCACAGCTGCATCCCCACCTGGGACCTTCCCCGCCCCCCAACCCTGACCTCCAGATCCCAAATTCAACAGAACCCCCCACCGAGACCTCGAACCCACCATCTGCCCCCAAACTGCCATTCTCCCCGGGTTTCCAGAGAGACTCGGGGTAGCAGCCATTATGATGCATTTCCTGAGGCCACACAGGGAACCGAGGCCAGGATGTGTATTGAATAAGTTTAATGGTAATTTGCTATTAATAGCTAACACTAATTGAGCACCTGCTGTGTGCCCATCCTCTCCTAACTGCATGATAATTTACTTGCTTATCTTGTTGATGGTCTCCTTCTCACTTCCAGAATCTAATCCTCCCAAGGGCAGGGATTTTAGTCTATTTTGTTCGCTGCCACTTCCCCACCCCCACACCTCCCACCTTCCTTCCCCACACCCATCACAATACCCCGCTCGCCGGAAGACGCTGGAAATAATGCATGAAAATTAAATGATAATAAAAAGGCCTAACATTAACCAAGCATCTCCCACCTGTTTATCACCTATTGTTGCAGTATATTTTACTGATTTATCTTTGTTGTTGTCACGTTCCTTGGGGGCCGGGGCTTGTTAACTATTTTGACTATTTTCCCCAGTTGTTTGTCCTTGCCACACAGTGGGTTCTCAATAGCCGCATGCTGAATACGTAAGAAAGACTAAATTCTAATGCTAATGGCTAACCGACCTCATAATTTGCCGATTTATTTGATTTATTGTCTCCACCTTTTAGAATACAAACTCCCTGGGGACAGGAATGTTGCTCGGCCTATGATTTGCGACCGGCACAGTGCCGGGCTTGGGGCTCAACGGTGATACGATCCAAAACCAAAATCAAAACTGACCCAAATCCCCGCCCTCCCCCGGGAAGGGGGAGGGGCTGCTAATGGGCAGGAGCTCTTTTTCCCGGGTGATGAAAATGTTCTTAGATTATGGCGATGGTTGCACGACAGTGGGGAAAATGCTAAAACAAAAACAAAAACAAAAACATTGAATTGTGCACTTTTAACTAGATTAACCGTGGTATATAAATTACATCTAAATAAAGCTGCTCTTAAAATCCCCGCCTTCACGTAGAGGGAATGAGACGGACAGAGATCAAGCAACATCAAGTGTTCGGCCTACTAGAAGGTGCTTTGCACACACCTAGGCACTTAGTAAATGTTGATTCAATGACACCCAGCTGACCCCTTGCCCCCGAGTGGTCTTGCCTAACCTCCCCCCGCCCCTCCCCCTTGTCTTCTGTTCTCTTTCCCTCGCAGGGCCTGCTGTCCACATCCCTTTCCTGAGCTGTGCACCGGGGGAATGGCGCTGCCGAGAAATGCCAACATGTTTGATCTGGGCCTGGGCACGTGGAGCCTTAGCTCTGAGGAGGAGAGCCAGAGGGCTCAGGCACCCTCCAAGAGTGTCGGGAAGCAGCTGCCCGAGTACAAGGCGGTCGTGGTGGGCGCGAGTGGCGTGGGCAAGAGTGCGCTCACCATCCAGCTGAACCACCAGTGCTTCGTGGAAGACCACGACCCCACGATCCAGGATTCCTACTGGAAGGAGGTGGCCCTGGGCCATGGGGGCTGCATTCTGAACGTGCTGGACACGGCAGGGCAGGCCACTCACAGGGCCCTGCGTGACCAGTGCGTGGCGATTGGGGATGGCGTGCTGGGGGTCTTCGCCCTGGATGACCCCTCGTCTCTAGCCCAGCTGCAGCAGATGCGGGCCACCTGGGGCCCTCACCACACCCAGCCCCTCGTCCTTGTGGGCAACAAGTGTGACCTTGTGAGCACCACCGGAGATGCTCGGGCCGCTGCTGCAGCCCTTGCGAAGAGCTGGGGGGCCCCCTTCGTGGAGACCTCAGCCAAGACACGACAAGGTGTAGAGGAGGCCTTTACCCTGCTCATCCATGAGATCCAAAAGGTCCGGGAGGCCATGGCAAAGGAGGCCATGACAGGGCCGGGTGGGGATAAGGCCCGGCACCAGAAGGCCATGTGCCGCTGCGGCTGTTCTGTGGCCTGAAGATCTCGGTCAAGAAGAGTGGCCTGCCCCCAGGCTAGGGTGGTGGATCCTAGACAGGCGGCCACCTCCCCCCCCACCCCCACCCCTCACCCCAGCAACTAGCTGTGTGGGACACTGTTGGTGTACTGGGGATAGATGAATCCCTCTGTTGGGGAGATTTTCGTTTGGTGATGGGCATCATGGTAACTGGCGAGCGAAGAGATTGTATGCCAAATTAAATAAACGGTGTTCTCAGGTTTCAAAGCTGCCTCTGTGCCAAGTGTTACGTGGGTGGGAGTGAAACTGGGGAGAATGTTACTTGAGTTGTGAGAATTCTTTCATTCAAGAAATGGGGGGAGCCCGCTGTGTGCCAGGCCCTGCTTTGGGTGCAAAGGATGTAGAGGTAAACAAGACCCTTAGAATCCCTGCCCTCGCAGATGTAACATGAGGCTATGTATTAAAAGCGAGGGTAGGAATAGAGGGACAGCGAGGTCAAGGAGAGCCTTACTGAGTAGGTGACATTTGAGTAAAACCGCGCAGGGAAGTAAAGCCGGTGCGAAGGCCGGAGCATAAACCAGCTCCCGCCACAACTCGCAGTATCTTCAGGTCGGGGTGAGAATAGAGAGAGCATCCCTCCATACCGTATAACTAAATATCTAAACATTACAGATGAAGCTAACAAACGCAAACAGTGCATCCTATCTCCCTGCCTTGACAGGTACGCTTTCTTCATGACCTGGAGGCCCAAGTTTGAATTGCTCACACGCAGAGCCCCATGCCCCATGCAAGGAGGGGTGTGTTGGGAAGGCCAACCGCCCCCTCTCTTCCCACTGGTAGCCCTTACCACCGCCCCCCCGGGGGGCAGGAAGGCTCATGGGGGCCTGTGGACACCGCCGGAGGCGCAGCTCAAACCACTCAGGCCTCACAGCCACCCCTTGGTGCTCAGAAGGATGGACCCCAGGAAAATGCTGCTGCAGGCCCTGAAAGTGTCCTCAGAGCCCTGTGGGGTGGGGCCCATGCCTCCCCCAGTGAGAAGAGGGGCACAGAGTGGGGGAGGGGGGCTCTAAAGGGCCCACCCAGGGCAGGGGCCCCTCTGCCTTTGTCTAAGGGCCACCACCGCCACTCAGCCCACCAGCCCCCCCAGAAACTGCCACTTTGGACAAGCATAGAGCTGCTTCAGATCGCATTTATTGTGGGGCCAAAGGCGGGGATCTCGGGGTTCTAGGGCTGCAACTGCGGCTGACGGGGTAAGCCGCTCTCGATGTGCCGACGGGGAGCAGTCGGGGTGTTGGGGTGGGGTGGTCCTGGGCCCGAGGGTGCGCAGGACCCGGGCGGTGCTCAGGGGGGCAGGAGGCGGCGCACCGGCGCCTGGGGCGAGGGCGTCTCCAGGCGCTTCACCCGCAGCAGGGCCCCCAGCACCCCCTCAGGGGGCACCTCGGGGCCCAGATCCTGGTCGGCAGCACGGCGGAGGCGGCGCGGGGCAGCCACAGCCTCGGGGTCGGCGCTCCCCGCGAGGATTCGCCCCAACAAGTACCTGCCGGAGAGCCCGAGAGGAAGGCCGTGAGGCTGTGCCGCGCGTCCTCGCCGCTGCCCTAGGGCCCAGACGGCCCTGCAAGCCCATACCGCCCGGGGACCCGGCCGTCTCCAGCCCACTGCTTTCCCGTTGGCCCTGCCTCCCGGCGCACACACTGTGGTTTCCCTGCCTCCCACTCCTCCCCCAGCAACCGGACATCTGAGCCCCCCCTCCCGCGCCCGGGACCGGCAGTCCCGTTCCCCACTGTCTCCGCAGCCAAGCACCTCTGACCCTAACACCTAGGGTGGCGGTCCCCACTCCCTCCTAGGATCCCAGGGCCTAGGCGTTGGCAGCACGCCGTGAGGCAGGCCCCCCCCCCGCCGCCCCTCGCCCTCCTACCCGCCCCCCCGCCACAGCCCGGGGATGCAGGCGCCGCCCCCTGCCCACCCCTTGCGGGGGTACCTCAGCAGCTCCGGGTCCACATCGGGCGTCTCGTCGCCGGCGTCCTCGGCCTCTGGGCCGGTGGGACCGTCGTCGTAGACCGGGGGCCGGGGTCTGAGCGCAGCGGCGGGGACAGGGCCGGGGACGAGCTGGGCCGCGAGGGCGGCGGGGTCCAGGCGGGCGCGGAGCAGGGCGCGGGCCAGCTGCGCGGCGGGCGCGTCGGGGTCGTCCTCCAGGCCGAGCGCGGGGTCGGTGGTGCGGGGGGTGCTCCAGGCGCGCAGCAGCTGCGCCAGGACGCGCGCCTGCTGATCCTCGGCCTCCTGCGCCTCGGCCCGCGCCCGCTCCTGCCTCTCGGCCTCCAGCAGGTGCGCCAGCGCCCGCGCCAGCTCCTGCACGGCTCCCGCCGCCTCGCCCCGGGGCACTGCTCGCCGGAAGCGGCGGGGGCCGCCAGCCTCAGCCAGGGGCGACGAGGCTGCGCCCAGGCCGCGCGGCTCCTGCCGGAAGACGTGGCAGGAGGGAGATGTCAGCGTCTGTCAGGCCAGGGACCCCCCTCACCCAGGGGAGCCCCGTGGACCTCAAACACCCCCAGATGCCACCAAAGGCACCGCGGCCCCTCAAATATACCCAGACACCCCTAAGGCCACTGGAGACTCCCCCCTCCCCCCGACGATTTCCTAGTGATTCCGAATTTGCCCCAGGGCTGCCTGAGAACAGGTGTCTTTATAGGAGTGGTGATGGCGTTTATGAGAGCCATAGATTTTTCTACGTTGATGTTGCGCACTATAAGACCCATATTTGCATTTTATAGGTTCCTATTCACTTGTTTTGCCCAAAAGGTAGCAGACTGTTCCGCACCTTGCATTTCGGAATCTATGTCTAGACCAGTACTTTCAGTACATCCTTTCTCTCTCTTTTCTTTCTCCTCCCTCCCTCCGTGTCTCCCTCCCTCCCTCTTCTCTCTCTCTCTCTCTCTCTCTCTCTGTTTTCCTTTCTTTCCTCTGCGTTGAATCTCTTTTGTATGGATGTACACATTTTATTTAACCAGTCTTCGATTGATGGGCATTTACGGTGTTTCCAATCTTTTGCTATTGGTTTGTTTGTTTTTTTAAAGATTTTATTTTTTAAGTAATCTCTACACCCAATGTGGGGCTGGAACTCACAACCCCATCAAGAACCTGGCGCTCCAGGGGCACCTGGGTGGCTCAGTCGTTAAGCGCCTGCCTTCGGCTCAGGTCATGATCCCAGGGTCCTGGGATCGAGCCCTGCATCGGGCTCCCTGCTCAGCGGGGAAGGCTGCTTCTCCTTCCCCCACTCCCCCTGCTTGTGTTCCCTCTCTCGCTGTGTCTCTGTCAAATAAATAAAATCTTTAAAAAAAAAAAAAAAAAAAAAAGAACCTGGCGCTCCAGTGACTGAGCCAGCCAGGCACCCCCCCCCCAATCTTTTGCTATTCTTGTAATGTTGGGATGAATAATTTTGTTCATATATCATTTGGCATGTGTGTAAATCTTTCTGTAGAATAAATTACCCAATGATTATTTTCAATTCAGACATTTTTAAAGCAATTTCAGAAAGTTTAAAGAAAAAAAAAAAAACCGGTATCAGAAGTATGAGTAAGGAACAAAAGACCATAAAAATGACTATGAAGATTTGAAAAAGAAACACCTAGAACATCTACAAATATGTTTTAAGTGAAATTCAAAATGAAAAAGGCAAGGGGCTCCTGGCTGGCTCAGTGGGTGGAGCCTGTGACTGGATCTCTGGGTTGTGAGATCCAGCCCTGATCCAGCCCTATGTTAGATGTAGAGATTACTTAAACGTGAAATCTTTCAAAAAAAATTAAGTGGGCCAGTTAAACAGTAGATTCACTCCAGCAGAAGGAATTAATAGGATTGAAGAGAGCTTAAGAACGGATCCACAAATATTGGCACTAGCTACATGGCAGAAAGGACACTCAGAGCAGTGGGGACAGGACCGACTCCTTCAAAAACCCATGCAGGAACAACAAATGACCCAAATGTGGGAGCAATGGAAAGGAAATGATAAATAGGGGCGCCTGGGTGGCTCAGTCGTTAAGCGTCTGCCTTTGGCTCAGGTCATGATCCCAGGGTCCTGGGATCGAGTGCTCTCTCTCTCTCTGACAAATAAATAAAATACTAAAAAAAGGAAAAGATTAATAAATCTGACTACATTAAAATTAAGGATTTCTTTTTGTCCCAAGACACCATAAAAAGAATGAACAGTCAAACCGGAGCGGGAGAATATGCCCGCAACACAAACAGTCAATAAAGGGTTAGCATCCAATATACCAAAAAATGCCTGAAAAGCAAAGAGAAAAACAAACTAATATAAAAATAGGGAGAGGCTCCTGGCTGGCTCAGTCGTTAGAGGTTTGGACTCTTGTTCTCGGGGTAGTGAGTTGAGCTCCACGTGGGGTGTAGAGATTACTTAAATAAAAAATAAAAACTAGAGGGGCGCCTGGGTGGCTCGGTCGTTAAGCGTCTGCCTTGGGCTCAGGTCATGATCCCAGGGTCCTGGGATCGAGCCCCGCATCGGGCTCCCTGCTCGGCGGGAAGCCTGCTTCTCCCTCTCCCACTCCCCCTGCTTGCCTGCTTGTGTTCCCTCTCTCGCTGGGTCTCTCTGTCAAATAAATAAATATAATCTTTTAAAAATAAATAAATAAAAACTAGATTAAAAAATAGGGAAAACTAGGGCGCCTGGGTGGCTCAGATGGTTAAGCGTCTGCCTTCGGCTCAGGTCATGATCTCGGGGTCCTGGGGTCAGGTCCCGCATCGGGCTTCCTGCTCCTTGGGAGCCTGCTTCTCTCTCTGCCTCTCTCTCTCTCTGTCTCTCATGAATAAATAAATAAAATCTTTAAAAAAAAATAGGGAAAACTAATGATCAAGTATTTCACAAAAAAGGAAACAAAACGAGTTACTAAATATATGGAAAATAGTGAGCCTCATTAGCAATCAGGAAAATGCAAATTAAAGCGCCAATGAGACACTAAGCATAATATGTCCCAAAGATCGCCAGAACTCAAACCACCTAATGATGCCCAATGTTGATATGGCTGTGGGAAAAACAGAAACTCTCATACATGCCGGTAGGAATTCAATTGCCAAAATAACTTTGAAAAACAATTCGGCTTATGTCTAAAACGCCGCACAAATCCTATGACCGACTCCTGGGGTGCTACACCCCAGGGTAGCTTTTGTGTATATACTACTGGACCCGAGTTCATGAAAAAGCACATGGGGCACTGTTTGTGACAT